TCCCCGTGGGGCAGTCAAGGAGAGATGGGGGGCAGGCCACGCTCTGTGGTGGTTTCCTGAGCATTCCATGTCCATTCTGGCTTCCAGAACAGCTGGTATTTGAACCGCCGACCTTTCGGTTAGCAGCAAGCTCTTCACCATTGTGGCACCAGGGCTCCTGCATGGTGCCCGCTGCCCGCTGTCCCTTGCAGACCCTGGCAGGCACTAGGTGTTGGTTCACTTAGCTGGGAGCTAGCATGTTGACAGCCCTGACGCCAAGGTCTGTGCCCTGAGTGGTGCCAGGCTGCAGGGCACCATGCAGGGTGGGAGGATAGGGCGCATTTTGTAAACAGTTTGTTAGCTCCATCTGCAGCTTTAAGAGAATCCAGTCCTGTGGTTTGTGAAAGCCCATCTGTCCCCTGGCCTCTCAAATGTTAGGGCCAGACCTGCCCTATCTCCATGAGCGTCCCGGGAAGATTGCCTTCTGTCTCGGGACCCACCACTGTCTGCCGCTTCTCATTCCCGAGGTGGCAAGGGCTGCCTGTCCCCGGAGCTCCGAAGCCTGGGCAATGAAGTTTAACAATAACAACCCTGCCCGGGGTGGATCCCAGGGCCCAGCCCTCTTTCCCAGCGTGTTCTGTCCTTGGGCACCCTGACAAGTGCTGGGGAGGGAGGACAGGGATGCCCCAGGGAGAGGAGGAGGGGGACTGGTGGCTGGTCATCCCCGATTTAGGACAGTTAGCAATGTGTCCAAGGGCACACCTCTCCTTGCCCTGTGCTAAGGAGGCGGCAGTGGGATCTTGCTTGCCTCCGAGGCAGAGCCGGCGGCATGCATCCCGGGAAGCTGCAGGGGGAGAGGCTGTGGAGGGCCCCATTGGCTCAGGGAGGGATGGAGTCAGAAGCACTGGCTTCACCTTGAACCCGACCCTGGTCACATGACTGACCTTCAAGGTCCCCAAGCCCCTCGGACCAAACTACTTGCCCTCAAGTCAGTTGCGAATCATGGAGCCCCGAGAGGGCAGGGTCAAACTGCTGCCCTCATGGGCAGGGTTTCTGAGGCTGTCCTGTTGCTCAGAAGCAGCTGGTGAGTTTGAACCACTGACCTTTCGGTTAGCAGCAAGCTCATTGGGCCACCAGACTCCTGCATGGCGCCCGCTACCCGAGGTCCCTTGCAGACCTTGGCGGGCATTGATGTTAGCTGACAGCTAACCTGCTGACAGCCCCAGAGCCTCCGTCTGGGCCCTGAGTGGTGCCAGACTACAGGGCGCACAGCCTTGTCTAAAGCCTTCTACCGTGTGTGTGGCCTTAGGGAGGCTGGGGACTTGGTGAGTCTGGATGGGGCATTCAGCCTCCGAGTTTCAATTGTTCATCTGCGTGATGGTGTGACTGAGAGTCACCCTTCCTTCCCTCCATGTAATCATCAGATCAGATGGCCCCAGGCCCTGCGTTCAAGGTCATCACCTTGGGAGAGTGTCATTGTTCCTCTAAGCCTTGGTGTTTCCAGCTGTTCAGTGGGGTTAACAGTATTCCTGGCAGAGGAGTGAAGAGTCTTCAGAGAAGGGATGGGTGAGGTGGTGCTCCGGTGCCTGCGCTCAGGGTGGTGTCCGCGTTTCCTGTCCCTGGTGAATGGTGACACCACGGGCTTGAGCTACCATCCTGAAAAGACGCCTGCGCGTTCTGCAGGACCAGTCCCCGCCGGTCCCTTCATCAGGGGCGGGGGAAGTGCCACCGGCCCTGTTCTTGAGGTCTGAGGGCTGTGGACAAACAGGATTCACTGCTGCCTACACCCAAGCTGAGCCCCCATTTCAGAAGCAGAAAGTTGAGTCACTCATCCCAGAATGTCCTGTCCCCGCCCACAGTGTGATAGCCACCAAACCCCCATGCCTTCGAGTCGAGTCTGACTCACAGCGACTCTGTAGGACAGAGCGGAACGGCCCCCTGGGACTTTCCTCATGGGAGCAGAAAGTCTCCTCTTTCTCATGAGGCACTGCTAGTGGGTTTGAACCACCAACCTGGCAGGTCACTCAGCTCCCTGCCGTCAAGTAGATTCTGACTCATAGCAACGCTGTAGGACAGGGTAGAACTTCCTCTGTGAGTTTCTGAGACTCAAACTCTTTACAGGTGTAGAAAGCCTCATTTTCCTCCCGTCAAGTGGCTGATGGTTTCAAACTACCGACATTGTGATTAGCAGCTCAATGCATCATCGCTACAGGGCCACTGGCACACTGAAACAGTCGGGTTGAATAAAATGTCTTGCTACTAGGGTTCCAGGTCTCACACACACACAGGTTCATTCCAAACTGACTCTCCTTAAGGCGCCTTTAGCGGGGCTGGGGATGGGGTGGAGCCCAAACAAAACTGGCATCCGAGGGGATCTGCCAGGCAAATTAAATTCAAGACAGAGAGGTCAGCTCTCAGAAGGTTATTGGAAACTGTTTGGGGAACTCCACCGGGGTCATCTTGATAGATTTTCTTGCAGGACATTGGCCAATCATGGGGGCTGATGAAGAAGTTTTAAGAAAACTGGAAACTGCCTCAGTGAGAAAAAACCAGCAGTCGCACCAAGGGAGGGACCTCACCCCACCCGCCCTACAGCCTTGATCTTGCCGCTGCAGATTTCTTCTTGTTCCTCAAACTCCAAGAACATTTCACAGGAACACAATGAAAGCCCCTTGGGGCTGCCCAAAGGGCTGTTTGGGCGTGGTCTAGATGAGACTGTAGGATTCTTCAGGGAAGGCACAGAGAGATGGAAACATTGCTTTCAGAAGCGTCAGAGGACATGCCTGAAACAACAGTGCCACATTTTGATTGGGGAAAAAAAAAGGTGTCTGATTTTGTAAGCACTCAGCAAAAAAGAGAGTCCCGCAGTGAGATGGACTGACACCGGGGCTGCAACAATGGGCTCAGACATAAGAACTGAGGCTGGTCCAGGACTGGCGGTGCACACAGGGTCACCCAGTGGCACCTAACAGCAGCCACCATCTCACAGAAATTGGTTTTGACTTGCCCTCATATCTAGGGTCTGTCTCTTTGAGCCTTCGTTTCCCCAAATGCAATGAGCTTCCACGAGGTCTTTGTGGCATCTGACAGCTGTCTAAGTGGGACCCAGAAGCGCCTCTCTAGAAGGGATGTCTGGCTAGCAGATTATGGTCAGATCCAAACAGAGTTGGTCGCTGGGAGCACCCCGAAAGATCTCCCAGACCAGAAGCCAGGCCAGACCTTCCAAAGGTGTTCTTTCCAAGACACCCCATCACCTCTGTTCTTTGGCATTGCCTGGTCACCATGGCAACGCAACCCCTGCCAGGACTGAGGGGGTGGGGACAAGGATACTGGAATATCACCTCCCTGGGCCCTGACCGGCCATGCCTCAGGTTCGGGTTGCAGGGAGCTGGAGTGGAAGGGACTGTCCTGGGTCCTGCTATCCAGGGCAGCATTCATACTAATAACATGTTCATCAGTAATAAAGGTGACTTATTAATAATCACTTATTAATTGATAATGGTTTGCCATGTATTGAACACATCCGTACCCACTACCAGACACTGCATATAGATACTTCAGCCCTAATGAAAGAGGGTGTGAAAATGTGGGGAGGAAATGTGGTCAGAGGGTTCTCAAGGTTTCACAGCTGGGGGTTGGCCAGGCTTGGATCTGTCTGTATGTGGAACCTACCTGCCTGTCTAATCCCTTTGCTGTTCCAGGGCTGCCCCTGATGAGGGCCATGAGGGTTGAGGGGCAGATTTGGGAAGCCCCAGACTCCTGGAAGTGGCAGACCTTGGGTTAGAGGGGGACAGCCCCTGTGGGAGATTCAGGCTGGCTGGCTCTTGCCCCTACCCACTCCCTGTTCAAACTGGCCAAGTGGCACCCTGCTAGAGGGCCCCATGTCTGCCCACCCCAAGCCCAGGAGGCTTCCCGGGACCGGCCAGCCTACAGTCGGGCCTCTGGGGGGCCTGGCCTGATGCCTGCCCCAGACTCAGCACTCTGCTAAGTCCGTGCAGGGGTCTGCAGGTGGCAGCGGTCGCCTCTGCCTGACCACCCACTTAGCTGGACCGTGCCTGTGCCTCCGCCGTCAGATCTTCCACATGACCTATGACCTGGCCAGCGCTGTGGTGCGCATCGTGAACCTCATCGGCATGATGCTGCTGCTGTGCCACTGGGACGGCTGCCTGCAGTTCCTGGTGCCCATGCTGCAGGACTTCCCAGACGACTGCTGGGTCTCCATCAACCACATGGTGGTGAGTGCCCCGCCCCCACCCGCAGGCCCCGCCCCCACTTGGAGTCCCCAGGAGGTAAGGTTCCAAGGTGCACACACCACCCCGCACCAGTCGGACACGTGTCACATTCGGAACTCCAAGTGCAGAGCTCTGGTCTGGGTGCTGGGTGGGACCTCTGCCTCCATGGGAGGCCAAAGTCCTGGGTTCCCTCAGGCTGGGCCAGGCCTGGGGAGGCTCCTGCAGGGTACCACTGCCCCCAAGGACTTACAGAAAGACAGAAGGATGCCATGCAGGTGACTGCCTGCTTCACCCACAGAGCCAGGCTCACCTCACACCAGGCCACTGTGGGGTTGCTCCCTGGGAGGCCTACTAGTCCCCCCCACCCTCCCCTGAACCCTGAGGGTGAGAGAAGCCACAGGGCAGCCTCCTCCCACCCCCGCCCACCCCCAACCCGCCTGCTACAGCTGGAGGGAGAAGGGCCCTGGCCCTGTGAGCCTGAACAGCCGGCTGACCACTGCCCCTCTGCCCCCCTCAAAGTCTTTTGGGTTTGGGCTGAAGGCAAATCCTACCCCCGAGCCCCAGGGGAGGCGAAGTTAGCTTTGAAAGAGGAGAAAGAGACCCTGAGGCATCTTTCAGCATCAAACAGGCCATTACAAAGCAGTCTTTTGATGAGCTAAGTGTAAATGAATCGGCCATATGGATTGAATTTCCCAGTCCCTGGAGTCCTGGCAGGGAAGCTGGGCTAGAGGCAGCTGGGGGACTGGGCTGCCCTCTCATTAGCACCCCCACCCCCTACTGCAGGATCACCCTGTCTGGACTGAAAGGCACCAGACCTGAGGGGCTAGGTCCGTGGCTTGACTGCAGAGTTGTCCGGTGCCTCCTCCTGATGTGGGAAGGCCTAGTGGGTGCCAGGTGGGCCCGGGGAGCCTCCTATGGTGCCCTGGGCGAGTTCCCACACTGATGATCTGTGAGCAGAGATACCCGGGAGGCTGGGGGGCTAGACACCCTGTCTTGGATGGTTTCTGGTGTGGGAGTCACAAGCTTCAACTCTATTCAATTCGAGATGTGGCCCTGCCCTTCTGTGCTTTCCCCAAGACTTCCAATGGCTGTGGAGACAAAAATAGCCGAGCCTTGCTCCCTCCCTCCTCCCCACCCTCTGGTGCTGTGCACGCTGGAGGGGGCAGGGTGGCATAGTGGGGCCGAGGGGAGCAGGGTTCGCTGTGGAGGTGGAGTCAGCTCCGGCTCCTCTGCTTGATGCTGGCCCAAAATGAGGACAGTGTTTGCAGCCGTCTGCCAGGGCCTGTCCCCCCAGGGGAAGTGGATCTGGATTTATAATTGAGGTCAGTGGGGAAATGGGCTTTGCCGAGCCATAGCCTGGGCGCTTAGCGGTGGAGCTGTTTCTGTGACAGCCACGGGACACCAGGGTGGTCCAACCTGGAGACAGACGTCTGTGTCTTTGGAGAGTTCCAGGCTGCCCCTCAGGCCCTGAGAGGTCAGACCCTACCGGCTGGCTCCATCCTGCCTTTTGTCAGGCCATCTGGTGTGCCCATTTCCCCGCCCCTCTCCCCGAAGCCCCGCTGTAAGAGACCCCAGCCCCACTGTAAGAGTCTGCACAATCACCACCGGTGCTCTGTTCAGGCCTCCTGGACCCTCGGGTGCCGACCACTAGGAGGGAGCTAGGTGGTGGGGAGGGGAGGAGGCGGAGACTGTCTTCAGCAGAAAGGCCTGTTCCCTCATTGGCCTACACCCATTGGTGGGGGGGCCCACATCCGTCTGTTTGTCGCCCTTGCATCTGCCCACAGAACAATTCCTGGGGGAAGCAGTACTCCTACGCCCTCTTCAAGGCCATGAGCCACATGCTATGTATCGGCTATGGACGGCAGGCGCCCGTGGGCATGTCCGACGTCTGGCTCACCATGCTCAGCATGATCGTGGGCGCCACCTGCTACGCCATGTTCATCGGCCACGCCACCGCCCTCATCCAGTCCCTGGACTCCTCTCGGCGCCAGTACCAGGAGAAGGTAGGGCAGCGAGCCACAGTCCCCCAGGGCCTTCCGGAGGCCCTGCCCACTGGCCATTCCCAAGAAGGGGTCCCCAGGCCTGTGCTGAGGATCGAGGGGGCCACCCTTAGGTGAAGACTGTCTCAACGCCATTTGGTACTTAGGGCTAAGTACCCTTCCTTGCTCCTCGCTGGTGAACAGAGGGCCGGCTCTCCTGGCAGACCCTCTGGGTCTACTCCTGGCCCCCTTCTCAGGGAGCCTGCCTTCCCCACGAGCCCCTCCTTCCCCGCCGACCCTTCCCATCGGCGGCACGGAAAGGTGCTCCGTTGCTCCCTTCTCAGAAGCAGCTGCCCTCCTGCCATCTCCTGCTTGGGCTACTGTCAAGAAGCCAGTGTGGTCGGCCTCCTCTTCACGGGCAGAGTGCTCAGGAGAGTTCATCCGTACTGAGCCCCTGGCCACCTCCCAGCCCCTGAAGCCCCAGTTTCCTCTGGTCTCTGAGACTCTTCTTGGCCTTCATCTTACTTAACCTCTCAGCAGTCTGGGCAGGGCTCATGGTCCCTTCTTGGGGCTGTGGTGAGTCAGTGGAGAGGCTCACGTTTGAGTCCCAGGCAATGACACCTCACGCTCAGCCACCTGTTCCTGGAGGCCTGCGTGTTGCTGGGATGCTAAACCGATTTCAGTGGAGCTTCCCAAGTAAGAGAGACTAGGAAGAAAGGCCTGGTGACCCACTTCTGAAAACCCCATGGAAAACCCCATGGACGACAGGGATCTGATCCACAACCAGTGGTGGGGATGACACAGGACAGGGCAGTATTTTGTTCTACTGTGTGTGGGGAACGGCAAGTCAAGGGCCACCTTGGCAGAAGCTAACCATTGTGACTTCTCCATTGGTGCCCTTGACCCCACTGAATCCATTCCAACTCCCAGCAATGCTATAGGGCATCGCGGAGCAGCCCCCAGGACAGAGGAGTGGAGCTGTCCTGTAGGGTTTCCCAGGCTGGAAATCTTTATTGATGCACACTTCTGTAGCTTGTGGGTTCAAACTGATGACCTTTCGTTTAGCTGCTAGCCACCTTTAATCTTTGTACCACCAGGGCTCCACCCTAACCCCACTCTCCCGCCCGCCCTCCTGCCTCACCGGCTTCGGTAGCCTGGTCACCATCAAGTTGATTAGGACTCGTGGCAACTCCATACATGTCAGAGTAGAACTGCGTCCTATAGGGCATCCAGTGGCTGAGTCTGGGGAGCAGGTCACCAGGCCTTTCTTTCGAGGCACCACTCAGTGGACTTGATTAGCAGCCGAGCACATGAACTGCTGGTGCCACCCAAGGACGGACACCCTTCTCTGGCTCGTCCTTCCCAGCCTTCTGTTCTCCATCATCCCTTGCTGCTCAGGTCCGACCTCTCTGCACCTCTGGCTAGATGGACTGTCTTTCAAGTCCACTTGTTTTATGACCCCCACACCACCTCACCCGGGTGGATGCCCATCTCCCTGCCAAACCAAACTCACTGCCGTCCAGTCGATGCCAACTCACAGGGACCCTACTGAACAGTAAAACTGCCCCTGTGGGTTTCTGAGGCTGTTCATCTTTACAGCGGCTGACAGCCTCATCTTCCTCCCATGGAGCGGCTGCTGGATTTAAACCTCCAGACTTTCAGTTAACAGACCAAACTGTAACCCACTGCACCACTAGGGCTCCCCTGCATCTCCATGCAGTGTGGCCACAATGATACCATGAAGCCCCACCTCTCCAGCCCTGCATTGCCTATCAGATGCCTCCCGGCCACCTCTGCTTCATCACGTTGAAAGCCTAACACTCTTCCCTCCCCATGTTCTATCCTGAAGGCCTACCTCAGAAGCTCCCTTTCCCCCACCCTAGCCAGCCACTGCCCCCACCCCAGCTTCTCTCTCACCCAGACCACTGACTCTAATGGGCCACTGGGCTCGAGAGCTGGTGCCAGGCAGCCAGGTTCGCATCCCAGGTCCAGCTCTGTGAGCCTGAGCACGCCACCTCACTTCTCTGCCTCAGCCCCTCTTTTGTGCAATGGTGAGGGCGCCCCTGGGTGGGCAGTTAACCCACTCTCACTGCCATCCAGTCAAACCCCCTGTGGGTTTCTGAGCCTGCAAGTGCTTATGGGAGTAGAAAACCCCGTCTTTCTCCCATGGAGTTGCTGGTGGTTTCAAACTGCCGACCATGTGGATTGCAGCCCAACGCATAAGCACTACACCACCAGGGCTCCAGAAACAGCATCCTCGGCTGTTAATCAGAAAGTGGCCAGTTTGCATCTGTCTGAGACACCTCAGAGGCAACACAAATCAGCTACTGAAAACACTGTGCAGCACAGTCTTACACACACCCCACACTCACACAACATAAATACACATTCAAACAACTCATACAACACACACCCCATACATGCACTTATACTCATAACACACACTCACTCATATACACACACACCGCACATAAACACTTATACATTCTCTCACACACTCATACTACACACACATATACACACTCTTTTACACCACACAAACAGTAACACTCATAACACACACACACACACACACACACACTTTGAACTCACTGCGACTCTATGGGACAGAATAGAACTACTCAAGATCTCTGAGACTGTAACTCTACAGGAGCATACCACTGCACCTTTCTCCCCTGGGGTGGCTGGTGGGTTTGAACCTTTGACCTTATGGTGAGGAGCTCAATGCTTGACCCATGACATCACATGGCAGCTGGCGGGTGTGGTGGTGGCATCGGGCTTGTGAGCAGTGAGTAAATGTGCACCCAGCCCTCAGGCCCCTATGAGCACATAGTAAGCCGGTCGTCCTAACCTTACTAGCTAACAGATCCCACTCCGCCTCCTCTCCATCCTTCACACGCGCCACGCTAGAGTGACTTTCAACGAACTCATGCCTGCTTCCGAGCGCCTCCCCATTGCCCTGGGGATGCAGATGAAGTCCTAAGCGCATTCTCAGCCTGAGGCTAAAGGGGTATAATCTGGCCCCTGCCCTTCCCCCTCTTCCCCCCACTGGTGTCTGCAGCCCCTGAGCAGGCTTCTCTGATTGCCATGGCCATGCTCTTCCCTGCGAGACCTTGGCCCAGGCTCTCACCTGGGACTCTCTCCCCCTCGTTTTCACCTGCCAAGTTCTTCACATCTCCTCCTTAGTGAAGCCTTCCATCACCTGTCAGCCCCCACCCCATCACAGTGCCCCCAGGTACCCTCCACTCCTTCTTCACCACACGCTGCACCCCTGCACTGATTCAATCACAGGTGGTCATTAGTTATCCGGCTCCACAAGGCCAGGGTCCAGGTCTGCTCTGTTCTCTGTTGTGTCCCAGGGCCTGGCACACAGTAGGGCTGCAAGTGGGCTCATCCATGGGCCATCTGCCTGCCGCCCTGGGTGCTGACCCAGCCGTTCCCTGGTTGGGGTGACACAACATGACCTCGTTGAAGAGTACAGACCAGGTCCCAGGATACCAGGAGGGGAGAGCTTGGGGATGGCTTGCAGGGGGCAACGAGTTAGAGAGTAGAGGACACAGAAGGAAGCACATTCCAGGGGGGTAAAGACCAGACGGGAGAGAGGAAAGAGTTCCGGGTCAGAAGAGAGGGGCTTGGAAGGGGAAGTAGAGAGGGAGTCAGGTTATAAAGGTCAGAGAGGGGCTTAAGGTAGGAGAGCAGGCAAAGAATCTATCTGGGAAGATAGGGCTCAGTGTGTGACCAGGATCAGGGCTCAGTGTGTGACTAGGATCAGAGCTCAGTGTGTGACAAGAATCAGGGCTCAGTGTGAGACCAGGGTCAGTGTGTGGCTAGGCTCAGGGCTCAATGTATGACTAGGATTCAGGTTCAGTGTGTAACCAGGCTCAAGGTTCAGTATTGGACCAAGGTCAGGGCTCAGTAAAAATATAAATATATTTACTTATGTACATGCCTTTATTTAGACCTCTATGTGTGTGGCCAGGTCAGGGCTCAGTGTGTGAGTGAAGTCAGGCGTTGGCCTCTGGCCAGGTCAGGAAGACGGAGTGGAGTTTTTCAGGTAGAGGCCAACTGCACATGGCTTTCCATTTGAGAGGCAACCTGATTTTTATCCTTTTATTGAATAGTTTTCCAAGCCTTACTGATTCATCCATAAATCTCTCTGAAGTGTTACCTCCCCTCCCTTCCCACTACCATCTCTCACCTGGCCCACCTCAACAGCCTGCTCCCCTCTTCCCTCCTTCCTAGACCCCACCTTCCCACTCCTATCGGTCCTCCATGTGCTCCCAGAGGAATTCATGGAAACAGCTCCAGTTCTTCCAGCTTTCTGTGTACCCAAAGGCAGCCAGGGAGTCACTGCCCCTTGGGTGGAGGGATAGGAGGAAGAGGAGGAGCCACATAACTTAGAGCGGACAGAACAGCGGTTCTCAACTTGGGGGTCTCGACCCCTTTGGGGGGTCGAATGACCCTTTCACGGGGGTCGCCCGATTCATAATAGTATCAAAATTACAGTGATGAAATAGCAATGAAAATAATTTTATGGTTGGGGGGTCACCACAACATGAGGAACTGTATGAAAAGGTCACAGCGTTAGGAAGGTTGAGAACCACTGAGATAAAGAAGCAATTGGTTGGCGGACCTGAAGAAGCACGCCCCTCCCATTTGCCAGGGGAGATTATTAAAAGCACCAACCCATGCACCCCTCCAGAGCCCTGCACAGGGTTCCCCTACCTCGGATTGTTCCTGAGGTTACAAGGGCCTCCCTCACTGCCCAACTCAATGGCCCCTATCCCTAGTCATTCCTCCTTGCTGCCCACCACCCAGAACTGTGGAGCAATGCCCACCCTTCACTCCGGTTCTTATTTGGGTTTGGGCAAACCTCTCTTTGAAAGCCCCTGCCCTAGGCCTTCTGTGGACTGGACTCGTCCTCGGTCATGTGGCAGGTGGCCACCGCTGGGGTGACCTCACTGTGATGTTCGCCGTAGGACAGATGAGGATGGGCCAGGCACTTCTGCTTCCGTTGCCAGTCGTCCTGACTCCTTGCAGCCTGGTCCGGCTGCCTGGACCCAGACAAGGAGCCAGCTCTTCTTGCGACCCTGGGGCTTCTCTAGATGACAGTGCAGCTTAGAAAAGACCTATGTTCAGAGGCAGCTTGATGGATCTCCTGGGCCAGGCTTTGGACAGTCCATATTGCATAGCTTCCCAGGCACGGCCCCCCACCCTTCTTCCTAGGAGTAGACATAGTAAGGATGGGCTATTCTGATGAAGTCCTCTCCCTGTAGGCCAGGCAGCCGGGCACTGGGCACCACACCCACACAGGGGACCTCAGATGTCAGAGAGCCAAGACTGGGGTGGTGGCAGCTGGGGAGGCAGCCGACTCGGTGTGACGCGCCCTCTGTTTCTCCCCGCTGCAGTACAAGCAGGTGGAGCAGTACATGTCCTTCCACAAGCTCCCGCCGGACACGCGGCAGCGCATCCACGACTACTACGAGCACCGCTACCAGGGCAAGATGTTCGACGAGGAGAGCATCCTGGGCGAGCTGAGCGAGCCGCTGCGGGAGGTGAGCCGGCTGCTAAGCCGCCAGGGCAGGGAGCTGGGCCCTCCCACCCGGCCGCTGCCGCCCTCACCGCCCACCTCTGGTCCTCTTCCCACCCGTCCGGGGAGCAGGAGATCATCAACTTCAACTGCCGCAAGCTGGTGGCCTCCATGCCCTTGTTCGCCAATGCGGACCCCAACTTCGTGACATCCATGCTGACCAAGCTGCACTTCGAAGTCTTCCAGCCGGGGGACTACATCATCCGCGAGGGCACCATCGGCAAGAAGATGTACTTCATCCAGCACGGCGTGGTCAGCGTGCTCACCAAGGGCAACAAGGAGACCAAGCTGGCTGACGGCTCCTACTTTGGAGGTGAGGCAGCCAGGGTGACTTGGAAGAGAGGGGGCCACTTCCAGGGTTGGGCTGTATGACCATGGCCTGAAGTGGGGGCTGGGAGCCCTGGGATGGCAGAGTGGGGCTGGGACCCCATGCGAGCCACCGCCGAGGCTCTGGGCCAGCCTGTGGGGCCCGAGGAGGCTCTGGGAATCCTCTCAGACGGGCCGGAGGGGCTCTGCAATCCCTCCGACCGCCACGTGCCCGCAGAGATCTGCCTGCTGACACGGGGCCGGCGCACGGCCAGCGTGCGCGCCGACACCTACTGCCGCCTCTACTCGCTGAGCGTGGACAACTTCAACGAGGTGCTGGAGGAGTACCCCATGATGCGGCGCGCCTTCGAGACCGTGGCGCTGGACCGCCTGGACCGCATCGGTGAGTAGTGGGCACGGGGGCTGGAGGGCCAGGGCCCCTGATGGCCTGCCCGCGCGGCCCGCGGCCCCCACCCTCCACCCCTCCGGCTCAGCCTCCTGCTCTTGCTGCGTGCCCCAGGCAAGAAGAACTCCATCCTGCTGCACAAAGTCCAGCACGACCTCAACTCGGGCGTCTTCAACTACCAGGAGAACGAGATCATCCAGCAGATCGTGCGGCACGACCGCGAGATGGCCCACTGCGCGCACCGCGCCCAGGCCGCCGCCGCAGCGCCCTCGCCCGCGCCGCTCATCTGGACCCCGCTGATCCAGGCCCCGCTGCAGGCCGCCGCCGCCAACACCCCCGTGGCCATCGCCCTCACCCACCACCCACGCCTGCCCGCCGCCATCTTCCGCCCACCCCCGGGGCCCGGGCTGGGCAACCTGGCGGCCGGGCAGACGCCGAGGCACCTGAGGCGGCTGCAGTCGCTGATCCCGTCGACTCTGGGCGCCGCCTCGCCCGCCAGCAGCCCGTCCCAGGTGGACACGCCGTCCTCGTCCTCCTTCCACATCCAACAGCTGGCTGGCTTCTCCGCGCCCGCCGGATTGAGCCCTCTCCTGCCCTCGTCCAGCTCGTCCCCGCCGCCGGGGGCCTGCGGCTCGCCCCCCGCCCCCACTCCGCCCGCCGCCGCCCCCACCGCTGGCCTCAGTCACTTCCACAAGGCGCTGGGCAGCTCCCTGTCCTCCTCCGACTCGCCGCTGCTCACGCCGCTGCAGCCCGGCGCCCACTCCCCGCAGGCCGTCCAGCCGCCGCCACCGCCGGCCCTGCCCGGGCCCGGCGCGGGGGGCAGAGGTGGCCTGGGACTGCTGGAGCACTTCCTGCCGCCTCCGCCCTCGTCCAGGTCCCCTTCGGCCAGCCCCGGGCAGCTCGGCCAGCCTCCGGGGGACTTGTCCCCAGGTCTGGCCGCTGGCCAGCCAAGTACACCAGAGACGCCCCCGCGGCAGCCTGAGCGCACGTGCTTGGTGGCAGGGGCCTCCGGGGGGGCCTCCCCCGTAGCCTTTCCCCCTCGAGGAGGCCCCAGCCCCCCTGGCCACAGCCCAGCCCCCCCCAGAACTTTCCCAAGTGCCCCGCCTCGGGCCTCAGGCTCCCACGGGTCCTTGCTCCTGGCCCCGGTGTCCAGCCCCCCACCTCCCCAGGTTCCCCAGCGCCGGGCTACACCCCCTCTCACCCCAGGCCGCCTCACCCGGGACCTCAAGCTTATCTCCGCCTCCCAGCCAGCGCTGCCCCAGGACGGGGCGCAGACTCTGCGCAGAGCCTCCCCGCACTCCTCCGGGGAGTCCATGGCCGCCTTCCCTATGCTCCCCAGGGCTGGGGGCAGCGGCGGCGGGGGCGGCGGGAGCCTTGGTCCCCTGGGGAGGCCCTATGGTGCCGCCCCCGGCCAGCATGTCACTCTGCCCCGGAAGACATCCTCAGGTTTTTTGCCACCCCCACCGTCTTTGTTTGGGGCAAGAGCCAGCTCTTCTGGGGGTGCCCCTCTGACTGCTGCACCCCAGAGGGAACCGGGTGCCAAGCCTGAGCCAGTGCGCTCCAAACTGCCTTCCAATCTGTGAGCGGGGCCCTGGCCTCCTCTCCCTCTTCTTTTTCTTTCTTCTCCCTTCTCCCTTCCTTCAGGTTTAACTGATTAGGAGGTATACCAGTATCAATAATAATCACCATCAAAAGATCAAAAACAAAACAAAAAAACAGAACCCTCACCAGAAAAACAAAGACAGCAGAACATAACCAGGTATTCTTAGAGCTATCGATTTTTGGTCACTTGCTTTTATAGACTATTTTAATACTCAGCACTAGAATCAGGGGTGGGGGTGGGGAGAGGCAGGGCCCAAATGCAGAAGCCAGAGAATGGGCGGGCAGGTGGGCTAGGGCAATGGGCGGGGCCTGGATCTGGGGTTCCCAGGGCAGGCTGCCCATGGTACTCGTTTCCAAAATCCACCACCAGCAGCCCCTGAGCTGTGAACTTGGAGTTCCACTGTGCTGGGAGTCACCCCGTTCCCTGGGAGAGGCTACTCTTGGGGGCATTCTGGGCAGCCTCAGACCCCCACCGGGTCCTGGGGACAAAAAACAGCAGGGCCTGGAGGGCTTTGTGTTTTTTCTACTGCAAACTTAGCAAGATATGTATATGACTGTGCATACGTATGTAACGTGTATATGTACAGCTCTGTAGCGCCCTGTAGATAGCAACTCACATGTGCGCACGTGTGTGCGGTCTAGTGTAACCCCATGTCACCAGGACACCCAGGTCACCTCACATCCAGCCACCCGCTGTGGCCCGCAGGCTGGACACTGCAGGCACTGGGGGATGCGGTTCTCGCCGGGCCTCAGGGAATAGGATGCCCCCCCAGGGCCCCTCAGCAAGCCCCTCCTCCCCATCTCTGGTCTCAAATCTGGTCCCAGCCCAACCTCTCTCTCACCACATGGAAGCAGAGGACTCCGGGCTGTGCCTCTCCGGTCCCAGGAGTCCTCAAACACATCGCTTGTCCCATGTGAATGTGGGGTGGTTAAGGGGTGGGGGTGGGGGGCCTTCTATTTATGGAGTCTGCTCAGTGCCAAGCACTGGGGTAGCACTTCACACACGAGCTCCTTCAGTGTCTCGAAGACAGGGAGTTTCGGGACTCTGCCTTCTCCTCATTCCACAGAGGGGGAAGCCTGGGGCTGGGGAGCTTTCTGTAATTGTGTAACTAGGAGTGGTAGTGCCATAGCTGATCTGAGATGGACACGTTCCTCAGAAGACTGGTGAGGGCCCCCCAGTTCAGTGCAGAGGGAAGAGAGAGCCCAGACTTGGGAGGCAATCGGACCCAGCTTCCAATCGGCCACTTCCTATCTGTGGTACCTTGAGGAGTTCTTCACTTGCCCAAGTCCAGCACCTCCTCTGTGAAATCGGAGTCGCCACATCGCAGGACTGCGAGGACCAGAGAAGCAAAGCCACATGTGGGGTGCTCCGGAGGCCCAGCGGCTGGCACATACCCCATCGGAGGTGCTCGACAATCACATCTCTCTGCCCACCCCATGTTCCCAGCCCATTGCTCAATGAGGTGGGTGGAGGGCCCATGGAGCTCTGGGAAGCACGCCGTAAGGGCCCATGGTGGGCTGGAGCCAGGTCCTTCGAGGAAGAATTGAGTGAAGGGGAGGCAGTGGCGGGAAGTTTTCACAGTGAGGCTGGCCTTGAGGGGCCTACAGAGGCAGCAGCTTGGCATGAGACGCACAGGCGTGGGGCTTGAGTCAGAAGGCAACTAACTGGGAGCCACAGCAGGTTTCCGAGCAAGGTGAAAGCAGACCTGCTGCCTCCCAAGGCAGAGGCCCACCGGACACTCCAGTGGTGGGCAAGCTCAGGATGTTGGGGAGGTCTGGTTCTGCCCTCTGCAGAGATGGGGAGGCAGTGAGGGCCCAGAGAAGGGGTTGAGGGAACAGAGATGAGAAGCCCTACCCTGGGGCCACTGGAGGGAGTTCTCAGAAGCAGGAGGATTGAAAAGAGGAGTTCCGGCCTCAGTCTGCAGCCATGTGCCCTGCTCTACCTGTAGGCAGGCAGGCCGCTCAGAGGGCAGCAGAGTTTGACCCAAAGCCAAAATCCAGTCTGGGAGGCAGCGGGGAAGGTGAGCAAGGGGCAGGGCATGAGCACATTCAGGAGCCCCCTTGTCATCAGGGCCGGGCCTAACCACCCTCTTCTACAGCAAGCCGCCCCCCCAAGTCATGCTCATTTTATAAAAGTGCTGACCCAACCCAGCCCCCTTCCCAGAGACGACTGCTCCTCGTCCCCTGCTCCCTACAGTTTTCGAATCTTCCACTTTTAAAACAGAAAACGGTCAATGTACCGTATTGTATATTTTATTTAAATAAAAAAAAATTCTAGCAGATGCTGCCTTTTTCCAAGGGTTAAGTGGGGGGTGGGTGGGCTTGCCGGTGGGGAGTGGCTGCTCCGGGCCAGGCCCAACAGATGGGTGTGCAAGGAGTGAGGCCGTGGTGGGCAATGGAGGGGGGGGGGCGCCTGGCCCCCATGCCCTGTGCTGTAGAAGCAACTGTGCTTATGGGCCGGTGAGACGCATGAAGGAGGCCTGTGGATGCCAGCATGCCTTTTGCTAGTGGAAGAGGGCAGTCAAGAGTTGGCATGAAATCCCGCTGGATGCTGCAGGACAAGGAGAGGCCATCTCTGCCAGATCACACCTGCTCGCAGAAGCTGGAGGGCCCTGGGAGACAGGCGACCAGGCTGGAGGAGGGGACGGGGCCAGGCCAGGACCTGCTGAAGTCGCTGGAGCCCAGCTTAGATGCAGAACCTGAGCCCTGAGCCCCAGTGGGGCCTTCATGAGGAGGAGGAGAACGGGTCCCCTACCGGGGGGCCCTGAGTGTCATGTTAAGCCCAGCCCCCCAGCCCTGGTCCCCAAAGCCTCTGTTAAGTCCTCAGACAGCCCCCTCCCTAGCCCCATAGTTCCAGAACTTCCCCTAGAGGGAGAGGCCCAGCGGGCAGCGGGACAGGTGGTGATCATGGGGCTGGCAGCCACATCACGGGGAGAGCAGTCTGCTGAGGAGAGGGAAGTCCTCGGGAAAGGACAGGGAACCCTTTTCTGCCACTGTTCCCCATCACTGACTCTGGAGTGGATGCTGTTTCCATGGTAATTGGCCTGGGAATCCTGTTGCTAAGGAGGAAGCTCGGCAAGCTCTGGCGTCCCCATGACAACTGCCCCCTATGGCCTGGGCTGCGGTGTTTCCTGGGGACCCCACAGGGACAGCAGGGTAAGGACACAGGCTCACCTGTGATGGGGTGTCCGAGTGTGGGGAGCCAGGCTGGCCCAGACCGTATCTCTGGGGCTTCTCAGACAGGCAGTGACTGTGACGAGGGTGCAGGGGTGGGAGGTTCTGGCTGGAAGTGATCAGGAGGATCCTCTGCTATCCACCATCCAAGCCTCCCACATGACGAGCCCTCCACAGCCCAGGCCAGCCCCAGACCTTCTCCCCGGACATCTGTCTCTCAACCCCAAAAGGACACTCGGTCAGTGCCCAGGATGTGCTTGGTGTGTTCATGTCATCTCAGTCCTACCTCAAAATCACTCTACAACGTGAGCCCACCTTAACCGTCAGTGAGCCAGAGGACAGGCACCCCAGGGTCCTGGGAGGTGCAAATTGTGTGCAAGTAGCTGCTAGCCTGGAGCTTGGTAGTTTGAACCCACCCACAGGCTCCAAAAAGACAGACCTTGGGGAGGACCGAGACCCAGTGTGTGTCAGACTTGACGGTAACAGGTTTGACAGACACCCAGGCTCTGAGAGCCGGACTGGATGGTCCCTGACTAGGGAGCTGGACAGCCGCAGAGGGAGAGTGCGTGAACGGCCCTCGGGGGAAGCCACGCCTGCTGCTTTCTGACACACATGTCAACCCATTGCAGCATGGTGGGGCAGCACTGCCTATAGAGGGAGGCCCTGGGAGGGACCAGAGGTAGATGATGAGGAGGCTTGGCTGCTAAGTGAAAGGCCGGGGCAGTTGGAGTCCCCTTAGAGCAGCGGTTCTCAACCTGTGGGTCGCGACCCCTTGGGGGCACGAACGACCCTTTCACAGGGGTTGCCCAATTCATAACAATAGAAAAATGATAGTAATGAAGTAGCAACGAAAATAATTTTATGGTTGGGGGGGTCACTACCACATGAGGAACTCTACTAAAGGGCTGCGGCATGAGGAAGGTTGAGAACCACTGGCCTAGAGGAACCACGAAGGAAATGCCTGAAGCTACTTCTGAATACTCAGCCACTGAAGCCCTGTGGGCTCACCATACCAGCTCGGACACCACTGGCTGTCTGCAGAGAACTGACAAACAAGTCCCAGGGTCCCTGGAAGATAAGGTAGAAGTGCCCCCGTGGGGTTCCGAGACTAATTCTTTTATTGTTTTTGAAGCAGTTTTATTGGCATATGAGTCGCATGTTGTGCAACTCAATCGCACCATCATCTTAAAAGGAGTCGTACAATCATCACCACAATCAATTTCAGAACTGGTTCTCCCTTCTGCGCTCGTTGTTATTAGGGCTCCCTTGGGAGAAAATGGAGAACTGATTAACAGTTTTCTCTCAGCAGAGCCCAGGTGGTGTAGTGGTGATGAATTTGGCTGCTAACTGCAAGGTCAGCAGTTCGAAACCATTAGCCTGCTTCGAGGAAGAAAGATGGGGCTTTCTACTCCTGTAAACAGTGACAGTCTCGGAAACGCACAGGGGGCGTTCTCCTCTGTCCTAAGGATTGCTATGAGTCGGCATCGCTCGACGTAGGGAGTTTGGTTTTGGTATTTCCCCCCAATCTCCCCTGCCATCCCCTCGAGAAATCACCAATCCAGTTACTGTCCCTATAGATTTACCCATCCTGGATGTTATACATACAAAAGGGACTGTAACTCCCTATGGGAGTAGACGGCGCTGTCTTTCTCCTGAAGTGGCTGGTTGTCTCAAACTGCTGACCTTGCAGGTAGCAGCCCAACACGTAACCACTACCCCGCCAGGACCCCTTTACAAACAAGAACAAGGGCTACACATCTGCTTTCTTTCTCTCATCACCACGTACCAGCAATTCAGAACCACCGCATCAGGGTTAAGATACTCCTCCTCACTAAGCAGACGTCTCCTCCCCCACTGAAAGGCCACTACACCCAGGCTTCTCTGCCCAGGGGCACCCACTGAGTTCTGGCTGCCGATGCAGGGAAGGTTGGAAGGGATCCTTTCTACCTTCATGTGGCTAAATCAATCCAGTTGGATTTTATTATTTACGAGAGCTTTTTGGAGCGTCTAGGTCTCCTTCCAGCGCCTACTGTTTGCTCTTCTCAAACGTCTGC